ATGAGAAACGAAGGATGAATCCCAGTTTCTAAGTTTTTCACTCACAACCACGTTCAAAGGGAGCACTGCAGATCTTTGACTGGTTAATCCTCATATACTGCTGACTAGACTACAACTGACGACTACTTTTCCCAACACCTATCACCACTGCGCCATAATGCGCTGTACTGTAGCATTATAAAAAGTTTCTGAGAATAATTCTTGTATATGGTTTCGTTTCAAAAGCTGGAGCACCGATCTAGCGCTATTTCGTAATGCAAGATATTTGACAGAATCATTAGGCAAAATACAAGAGCGTTATACAAAAACCTTGCTGCTACGCGAATCCTATCCATATGCTGTATCGGCACAACTGCTGTACTGTAAGAGGTGTTTCACAAAAGGTCATTCTTCAAACATGAAGAGATCGTTCCCATCTTAAATCCTTTTCAAGATGCAAAAGATCTCAGAAGATCTGAATCTTGAGAAGCGGGGCTTCCATACTAAAGTAATTTCGGGAGGAACCAGCTATGCTCTGAATCCATGGTCCTACAACCCTCACCACCCGAACCCCCTTGTTACAAGGAATAAAACTTATACTACATACAAATTAGGTGACTTCAAATGCCAAATACTACCATGTGTACTAAAAAATAATGGAACATAAACTTATACCACGATCAAAGCTGTAAATGTAGCAGATAGAGCACCAATGGGAGAAATTTTGTTTTGGGTCATCACTGCCAATGGATGCCACGTTGCTCTTTCTAAAGAGGCAAAATGTACAGATCGAGAACGAATTTTCTCAACGTGGCTGACGAAAATAAAACAACCAGACAAAGAGAGTAACAAAATTAAATAATGAATAATGAAAGGAGGAAAATGGGTAGATGGCAAGGCAAAAACAAGTAGAATGACCGGTAAGTTTAATCTTCTGCAGCCAACGCTCCCTTCTGAACACCCTCGACAGCTTTTTCTAAAAGCTCGCTAGATGAGTGACTGTCGCCTATTTGCAGACCTCGCTTTGATGGAATCGACCTTATGTTGTCCACTGTGACTTCTACCTAAAACTGACCATTTGATGTTAAATCAAAGATTACAGAATCCGACACGAAAACGAATGCCAAGGAAAAAAGTGGAAGAGGTATGTTATTTTGTAGATAAAACCCATTTTATGACGTGGCGTTCGAATTTTCACAGTACAGAGCAACGTTCAAGGAAGTCGTCGACGATGGACTCCACTCCACCTGTTCCTCTACTGTATGAGCGAAAAATCCGAACGTACTGGGCGAGGTAGTGTGACACGTAGCGCGAAGGGCACACTCTCGCGCATGGCGACTGTGAATGTTCGCTCGGCAGAACCTAACTGACCAGGCGAAAATCCTCGACGTGGCGTTGAGGAATCCTCGACCGATATTCACCCTGATTCAGAAGTGTGGAAGCTTTCGGACGATTAGTCACAAGGACTCATGGGTACCATGTGATATACCCCTCAGTGTTTCCATCGTTTCGGACAAGTACGAAAGGAGATTCTCTACACCCTGAGTCAGCACCGATGAACACAATCTCTATTACAGGGGGGAAGAGATTCAATCCGGACCTTCGTCCCTAAGTTACGCATGTAGTGACTGTACTATGTGTAATTATTTCATAATCGCACAATCAGTAAAAGTTACATTACTTCAGTCTCCTCAGGAGTCGTATAACAGTGAGGGCTACCGCTTCTTGAAGAGACATTCGATAGCACAGGAGTTTCTTCTTGAGGCACAACCTTGAATGGCTCATACTGTAAAACGAAACGAAGACAAAAATATTTAAATGCCTACATCTTTAGGGAGATACCGCTTCATCTCAATTCCTTCACTGGTCTCTTCAAGGTCGCCAGCACTGTCGATTGTGACAATCTGGAAGGAGGTACGATTGCAATAAAATTATAAGAGCAAAACCACACTAACGTAGTAAAGTAGCCCAGACAAAATTATCATAGAATGAGAGCCTCAGGTTTTGGTGGTGGCAAAACTAAGCACGCAAAATATGGTGTCAGGTATAGTTTTTCATAGGTTTTTCTCACTTTCGAAATTCCCTGAAATTCAGAATCATTGCGACGTAGTTAGAACGTAGACCTTAAAATGATAAATAGAAATAATAAATAAATTGTAAAAAGGGTAGGATAAAAGATTGGATAGGACAGCCAAAGGGATAAAAGGGTGTATCACCCAAAATTTCGAGGGTGTTAAGAGCTGATGCTTGATGCATAATGAATTCAAACACCAAGCGAGAATTTGTTTTGAGCGCAGCATAAGAAAAGCAACTATTACCAAGAAAGTGGTTCGGGACTCAAAGAGCTTCTCCACAACGGTTTTTGGTATGCTATCGGAGCACGCGAGAAGAGCACACAACCGATGAATTTCTGAGCGGCCCAGAGATCGTCGAAAAAAAAATGCACAAAACTTCTCAAAATTTTCAACTTAGATCGTGGACTTTCCGCATCCTTCGCTAAGGCATTTGTAGCGTTGGGTAGCCGTATATCAGAAGTTTTTATTTAGTGAACGAGCTTGCTAATACATAAATGAGTGTTTCAGGGATATCGAACAACACCATTGTTTCGATATATTTTTGGCATTCCCAGAGTAGCTTAGGAAAAAAGATCCTTAATTCCGTTCTCCGAGCGAGCCCCTATAACAAGTAAAAGGTTTCAAGAAAACAGCACACGCCCCGAAAGACGTTCCGGGTTGATACCATTACAGCTTAAAAGTGGGGCTGGTGGTCAAAAGATAGATCCATACGAATGAATGCAACACCAAGTTTATGGGAACTCTCACTTGACTGATGATGTTGCTCGCTCGACTACGTTCTCGAGAGTGACCCTTCTTCATGGTAGAAACTTCTGACACATTTTTCGAAGTTTGTTCGATGTTTCCATAGGAGTGATGGTTCAGAGGACCATTTAGACCTTCCACTAAAGTCACTGTTTCGTACCTAAAACAAAATATTATGATCGACACCTCGGGTTCACCGATGCTGCCATTCTTACAACTCACCCAAGATTGCGTGTTTGCCTGCGCGCACGAAGCTGTATCAGTGCACGGAACGGAGAGCGGCAAATGGGGCAATTATTAAGCTGCAAATATAATATGTCACACGAAACGTTTTGGACCTGACTAGTAACAGACCTTGTATCTTAATGTATCCGCACAATTATTACATATACAAAGATGACGGCACGGTAGGATTACAGTGTCACGAATGTCGCTCATACAAATAATACACTCCAGTCCACATTCGTCCGCGTTCCCGTCAGGTGCCATCTCTTTATTTTCTATGCCGAACATCTCCTATCGAATAAAAGAATTCAGTCATTGAAAAGTTGCTTGTTCGCAATAAATGACTTTTAACGTAAACACGTAAACAAAGTGCTGGTTGAGTTGATGATGAAAAACATGCCACAGTATACAACTAAAACTCACTTGGAGAAGGTAAATAACGCCATCACAAGCAATTTTTTGCCGCAGTGGTTTTAGGATTAGGGCATGACTGCTATCGTTGGCAACCTCAAGAAGATCTGATGACATGAGTTCACAAAATTTACGCGGTGCAGTTGACAACTTACATCCACTGTACACATGGTGCTTTGCATTTGCGGTCGGTCAATTCCATCTGTTTGAATAACAACTACGACAGGGAAATAAAGACCACCAGAATAGGTCAGCTGTAAAGAGGTATTTAGCTTACAACTAACATAAAATACAGTAAATCTATCAGCATAATAGTGGGACAACTCAAAGGCATATTCCGCTCAGATCACCATGGAACGCGCCCTTTAAGGACTAGGAGTTAGTGCCTTAGTGTTGACATCACTGTTCATAAAAAGGATGGGATGTCGATCTGTTCCAAAGTTTGGAAAGAAGCTCACCACTTGAGAATTATGTCAGTCAACACCCCTGAGAAAATTGGCATAGAAGACATTGATCTAGGAAGCTCTGGGTGTTTCTGTTTATTGCCGTTGTGAGCGTGGTGCTCGCGGTTCTTGTGTGCGTGGCGTGTATGTGACTTATCAGAAATCTACAAGGGGAGGGGTGATAAAAAAAATGGAATTCCCACAGCAGAATGTTTCTGAAATGTCTCTCTATAAGTAGAAGCAAGTCCTCCCTCACGGCCCTCCTGTCTTTAGAGTATGACGTCATTTGCCTTTGCCGTCGAGCTCGAGGGGGCCTACAGAATAGTTTCATCTCGAAGCTCCTAGATGTTATAATTTGTTAAACCGATACACTATTGGATAGTTCCTAGGGACTATAACTCTGACGGCACTATTCTACTATTACTGCCCCAAAATCTCAGAATTTCATTTTTTGTCGAATCTTCGCCCATAGAACAATTCAATGCCCAGACTACGAACGTGATATGCATTTTTAAGTTGCGAATATAACATCCATTCATATTTGT